CAGTATGTGTTTCAGACTTTATATCTGTTTTTAAGCAACAGTTCAAGCGATCTCAGACATACAGTGCCACCCCACCCCCCTTCCTGATACTTCTGTCTACTTGGAACAATTTAAAACCCTGTATGTGACATTCAGCAGGCATATCCCGATTATTCGTATTGAACCACGTCTCGGTTAAGGCAAATACATCAATGTTACCTGCACTAGCAACTAGTCTCAACTCGTCCATCTTATTCCTAGCACTACAACTATTTGTGTAATATATATTTAAGGACCCTCCCTTCTCTTTTTTCTTCCTGCTGATTTCTGTTCCTCCACTTTGCCTGTTACTCTCCTTATCACCTAATGCCATTGGCCTTTCTATGTTCATCAATAACTCTTCCTCATTCTGCCCATAACTGGTTTCCTTAAAACTCACACTATCGCTACACTCAGAATTCATTGATTTTCCATGAAAACCCATACCACTATCTATTTCTAGTTTAAAGACCTAACTGCTCCCTCAACTGCATTGGCCAGTGCTCCCACCCCACACCTAGATAAGAGAACCCCATCCCTGGCATACATGTCATTTCTGCCATAGAAGAGGTCCCAGTTGTCAATGAATGTTACTGCATTTTCCTTACAGTATTTGTCCAGCCAACAATTGACACCAATTGCCCTGGACAACCATTCATTTCCAACTCCTCTCCTTGGCAAAATACAGTGGACCCCCAGTATTCGATTGCATCTGTATTCGATAAATCCGGTATTTGATGCATTATATCGCAAAAATTTTCCTCGGTATTCGATTGAAAACCCAATATTCGATACGATTCGTACGAGACGTGTCCACATGTGGCCTGAACTGCCCAGTGTGTGCCAGTGTTTACAAGCCAGCCAGTGTGCGCGCATCTAAGGATACATTCGGTACATTCCATATTATCCATATTATCACTGTGTTTGGTGCTTGTTTCTGCAAAATAAGTCACCATGGGCCCCAAGAAAGCTTCTAGTGCCAACCCTTCGAGAAAAAAGGCGCTAATGACTTATGAAATGAAGAAAGAGATAATTGCAAAGTACGAAAGTGGAGTGCGTGTGTCGGAGCTGGTCAGGTTGTATAATAAACCCCAATCAACCATCTCTACTATAGTGACCAGGAAAATGGCAATCAAGGAAGCTGTTCCTGCAAAAGGTGCAACTGTGATTACGAAACAGTGGCCGCAAGTGTTAGAAAATGTTGAGAGACTGTTATTGGTGTGGATAAATGAAAAACAGATAGCAGGAGATAGCATCTCTCAAGCGATCATTTGTGAAAAGGTTAGGCAGTTGCATGACGATTTGGTAAAGAAATTGCCTGCAACTAGTGGTGATGTGAGTGAATTTAAGGCCAGCAAAGGTTGGTTTGAAAGATTTAAGAATCGTAGTGGCATACATAGTGTGATTAGGCATGGTGAGGCTGCCAGTTATGTTGTGCGACAGAAGTCCAGTGACTCTCAAGCTGGTCCTAGTGGCATTAAAAGAAGGGAAGTAACCCCGGAAAAGGACTTGCTACCTCAAGTCCTAATGGAAGGGGATTCCCCTTCTAAACACCTCTCCCCTCCTCCCATCCCGTCAATTATCACCAGATCTTCATTAAAGGTAAGTGTCAATTATTTTATTGTTATTGTAATTATTCTATTGCATTAAACTTAATATTTCATGTAGTAAAATTTTTTTTTTCATACTTTTGGGTGTCTTGCACGGATTAATTTGATTTCCATTATTTCTTATGAGGAAAATTGATTCGCTTTTCGATGTTTTCGGTATTCGATGAGCTCTCAGGAACGGATTAATATTGAATAACGGGGGTCCACTGTATTGTTTATTGTGCATGTATCATTGTTTTCTGTGTAGGAAAATGTATATTTCATGTAAAAAAAATCATATTGTTTAACACTTTTGGGTGTCTGGGATGGATTAATTGGATTTCCATTATTTCTTATGGGGAAAATTAATTCGGCTAAAGGCTAAATCGGTTAAAGGCTAGCTCTCTGGAACAAATTAATGGCGTTACCCAGGGGTCCACTGTACTATATGTGTATTTTACTTTTTTATTGTTTTCTAATGCCTAGTTCTATTGCTAACTTAATATATGTTAGTGTAAACTTGTTATCAGGTATTTATATGCATTTATAATTGGAAAAAAAAGGGTGTTCTACTTCACGGCAATTTCCGCTTTACGGAGTAGCCTGGAAGCTAACCTTCCGTATAAGTGGGGCCCTACTGTACAGTGGAACCTCAGCTTACGAGTGCCCCACCATACAAGTTTTGCAGAATATGAACAGTCACTTGGTCGATTATTTGTTTCTGAATACGAGCAAAAATTCAGGATGCAAGCTTCCCCCTAAAACAACTTTTTTTTAGACCTCCAGATCTTACAAAAGCAAAAGTGAATATATAATTGTAGTTCACTGTCGTGATGTACTATAACTGCAACGGAAATAATACAGTGGACCCTCGGTTATCGGCCGTAATCCGTTCCAGAAGCTCGGCCTAAGACTGAAATGGCCAAAAACCGAAATAATATTTCCCATAAGAATTAATGGAAATACAATTAATCCGTTTCAGACAAAAATATTCACAAAAAAAAAATCATTTTTTAACAATTATATAATTATTATATACCTTTACTGAAGGCTAATGCTGGCTTCTGAAAGATAGGGAGTAGGAAAGAGGGAGGAGTTAGTGTGTTTGGAAGGGGAATCCCCCTCCATAAAGACTTTAGGTAGCAAAACCTTCTCTGGGGTTACTTCCCTTCCTTGTCTTTTAATAACACTAGGAACAGCTAGAGAGTCACTGGACCCCTGTTGCACAAAATAACTGTCAAGAGTGCTCTGTTTCTGGCATCTCTTTAAGATTTCCCTGAAGTGAGACAGGGTTTTGTCACTAAACATGTTGCAGATATGGCTTGTAGTATTTCTTACCATAAATTGTGGGTGCTGGTGTTTGTGGATGATAGTGAAGAGAGTGGAGATGGTAGAGGTTCTGGTACTGAAGTCGATGGTTGTACTGGAGTGTGCATAAATTCTGTAATGGATTTCTGTTCTATTTTACCCTGCAGTATATTATACAACTGATGGTAAGGCATCCGCTGCTCTAGATACCGTTTCAGGGTCCTCTTCAGTGAAACAGTCTAGTCAGTCAAGTCATTCAGTCAGTTAAGTCAATGAGTTAAGTCATTCAGTCAGTCAAGTCAGAAAGTCATTCAGTCAAGTCAGTAAGTCATTCAGTCAAGTCAGTAAGTCAGCCAAGTCAATAAGTCATTCAGTCAAGTCAGTAAGTCAAGTCAGTAAGTCAGTCAGTAAATCAGTCAGTCAAGTCATCAAGTCAGTAAGTCAGTCAAGTCAGCCAAGTCAGTCAAGTCAGTCAAGTCAGTCAGTCAATCAAGTCAGTAAGTCAATCAAGTCAGTAAGTCATTCAGTCAGTCAAGTCAGTAAGCCATTCAGCAACACTGGTATGCCTACTGGGTGTCATGATTGCTTGGCAGATACAAGATATGGTAATTAAAACAATTCACAAACACAGCTAGCTTGTAAGAGAGAAGTGGAACTGAACATTTTAGCTGGGATGGTGGGAGATCTTCCCTGCTGACCCACAACAAGGCGGCCGCTTGAGGTAGGGAATGACTGCCACCACTTGTCACATAATGACATATTTTATTCATTCTAGAGTATATATCTGATTTCTATGTTATTTATATTGTTTATTATGCCATATTAGATGAATTGTGATAGATAAATAAGCCGCAGAGTTGGTATTAGCATCATATTCCTGCCTCCTGAGACCAGGAATTCAGCTGGAATGGATTAATGGCATTTCAATTAGTTTAAATGAGGAAAATTGACTCGGCATACAAGCAGAGATACAAGCAAGGTCACAGAACGGATTAAACTCGTAAGCCGAAGTTCCACTGTATTTTTATATTGGTTTTGGGTTTATAAGTGCCAATTTGCTAATTTCGAAAGCAATTTTGACACATGATTTTCATAAAAAAAGTAAAAAAAAAAATCTTATAAAAGACTGAAGAGAAATTCAAACAGAATATGAGAAAACTTAAAAAAAAAAATGCATTTTTAAATTAAATGAGGGTACTGCTGTCTCTGAGATAACAAGAGAATGCCCCTTCAGTTTAGCCTTAATGCTGATGTTTCTTAATGGAATGTTTGAATTAGATTCAGCTTGTGTATGTTTTAATTCTCCATTTTAACTGTGAATGCTTCATATGATTTACTTTAATATTTAGCTGCATTACAAACTTATGCTGCACTCTGCACTACTGAGGTAAGAGGGACTAGTTATGCAGTGCCGGAATAACTTTCTTGGATTGTGCAGCTATTGAGATGCATCTAGTTTCACTGGTGATTAAACACCAGATGTTTGAGGTATACTCTGGCCATCTCTCCTCTTGTGATAAACCACTCTCAAGTTTTAACATAACATACATACAGGTACTGAATGTATGACTGACAGAATCACCTAAGATTCACCCCTCCCCTTACCAAAGAAAAAATACAGTTCTGCAATGTTTTATATGCAGTCTTGTTTAGCACTAATATAATATAGGTATATAACCAAATCTTACTAAAATTTACAGGTCAGATACCCTACCGTATTTAAAAAAAAATCGTTACTGTATCTCGATGTTTTCCTTGAGGAAGGTAACCATCAGGTGACGTGATGAACCGATTCATAAATATTATATAGTTATATATATTACTGCAATGGTTTTCTATTGATGATTTGACAATGTGTTTAAAACATGAATAAGTACTCCTACATGAGCTTAAATACTATTCATCACTCTGAAGCCTAATCTTAATTCTAGTTGCAGTTTTTCAAGCCTAATCTGCCAAATAATTGTTCATGATATTCCATCAAATATACACTAGCGTAACCTCTGTATACTAGAAAGTATATTCTAGCCAAACTTACCTATACAAGATAATGCTATTCTATCCCAGCCTGTGTTGCCAGCTCACCTTTAAAACACAGTTGGAGTTGACGAGAAGGTTGCCAGGTTTGATGTCTCTGTGAATTATCCTCGCAGAGTGCAGGTACTTGAGACCTGCAATATACCAAATATGTCACAGGTATGTCTTGTGAAAATTACAAAAAAAAAATCGTTATAGTAGAAAAACTTATACAGAGCCATTCCCCAGGCTCTGTAAGAGCCTGGGGAATGGAATGAAATTAAATTTTAACCAATGGAAAGAATAACTTGAGTTCTTTGAATCAAAATCCATCCACTTGCGTCTAGGCACTCTTCACTCTGAAGGAAAAAAATAGGGTACCCTGTACTACAACTGACATTCAACATTATTTCTCGAAATAAAAATAGCAATAATTATCATCTGTAATTAATTTCAATCTATTAAAACAAGAAAAAACATCGGAGATATCACTGATATTAATTCTAGCCATCTCTTACCACTTACTACCTGCCTCTCATCCTCTACTCTCCACCTCCCCCCTTCCTTTCTTTCCCCCCCCTCTCTCTCTCTCTCTCTGGTCAGGGTTATACACTATGAGTGTATCACCCTTACTACCCGCCTGGCCCAGACATGGCCGTCCAATTAAAATAAAATATTAATAATGAAAGAATGTGAAAATGCAAAATTTAAAAATTTGATATAAAAAAGCTTTCATATTGGTCATAAAATGTTATAATACATGTAACTGTTCATGTGATCTGTTTATCAGAAGCAACAAAATTATGATTAATTGATGGTTCTCGATGGCAAGTATAAACGTGTCCCAGTAGAATAAATGGAAAGGCAGAGTGAACGGATGAACAGACCTATATAATAATAGAGAAATAACTAACACTACGAGCGATATCATTCAAAATACTTTTTAATACTTGTCTATATGTATGTATGTATAATATATATATATATATATATATATTATATATATATATATATATATATATATAATATATATATATTATATATATATATATATAAAATAAATGCCCGACATTTCTATCTCAAAAGCTTACCACACTGTCACTAACTGGGCAGCCGTAATTAACTCGCCAAGGATACCACTAAATGTTCACGCTCAATTTTCTTGACAAATCTGGGCCACTCAAGGCTTTTTAGCCAGTAGCATTTTTCTTAGTGGATAAAATATTTATGTGTGGGTTCCTTCCATTTTCACCAGTTATAAAATATATTTTGTTATATGATTACATAAATATTAAAAATTACCTTTATATATGCAACAGAATGATAGCTAACTTACCCTCTGATACGGATGTCGATTATTCTGAAGAAGAAAGCACTAAGTACACGAGCTGGTATCATATACAAAGTTAACTTCAATAATCACTAAATACCATGGAACCTCGTTATCCATCACCTCGAGAAAAGAGGCACGTGAAGAATAAGCTTTTAATGTGACAACGTTTCGCTCCATGTAAATGCTTATCACAGAGATAAATGTTGTTACTGTGAAGGAATAGCATATAAATATCACATCTTACGTTTATGTCCAGACTTCACAAGAGTTCCAGTAGCTGTAACACTATTTGGTAGGCCCAAAGTGATCAAAAGTAATATCATCTGTTGGGCATATTTGTAGTTACAGGTGTTACTGTTGACCCCACTCGCCTGCTAATTAGTGTTACAGCTACTGAGAATCTTGAGAAATCTGGAAATAAACAAAAGGAGTAATATGTGTTTTTCCTTCACAGTAGCACGGAGCGAAACGTTGGCACAATAATACTACCATGTGAGAGAAAAAAATATTATAACCTTAATTTTTAAAGGGGTGGACCAGCAAGCCAGCGAAAGGCCTCGGTCAGATGACCAAAAGCTCCAGCGGCGGGTCATCATAGGACTACGACCCGCGTCAGAAAACACTTGTTCTGTTTTCTGACGAACCTTACCTAACCTAACTACCATGTAAAGGTAATACTACCGTGAGGTTGAGCACTTCAACTCCTCTCCAGGGAACTCTAACTCTGAACTTATTCTTCAATGTTCTGTATTGTTTTTTTAATCTCAGATATAAGATATTACGATTATCAGTTGTAACGGTTTTAGCGCAAAGTTTAAAGAAACTTCACCCTTTTCTCATTTCGCCTTCAGGGACTTACGTAGTTTATATTTGACCATCTGGTAACCTCTGAGTTTCTTTATTAAACTCTCGCTGCGGTTTCGTCAGATGAACAAGACGTTAGAATATTGGTCTCTGGGGGAGCTGAAGACAACTGTTACATCCACTCTTCCAATTCTTGGAGACTATTTACTGCTGGGATCAGTTTGAGAAATGGAAACACAGTCCAGCGGTAAATAGTCTCCAAGAATTGGAAGAGTGGATGTAACAGTTGTCTTCAGCACCCTCAGAGACCATTTCTTAATGAGCTGGCCCTTCTCTAGTCTCCACCAATATTCTAACGTCTTGTTCACCTGGCGAAACCGCAGCGAGAGTTTAATAAAGAAACTCAGAGGTTACAATTTCTCAAACTGATCCTTGAGACAGATTCAGAAATCCTTGAGTTTCGTCAGAGAGAGCCATCTTTCCCTCAATCATCACAGGCCAGTAGGCCTGCTTCCGTGCTCCTTCCTTCTTGAGCGGGTGTGACTTGGACTTGCCTAGCATGGGCCAGTCGGCCTGCTACAGTGCTACATGTCTTCCCTTTCTTTGACATCTACCTCTTGTTTTCGTTTGTTTTACTTAATTGTATTAAATATCTCTAACATTTTCAGTTTCATTACTTTTGCCTCATTTTACTTCTTTTGCCTTTTTATTATGTTTTATATCGTAGTAATGTTCGTAACAAGGAACTGTTTCCTTGACAGTCACAATAAATACTTGCTCACCGCCAGCCTTTATTATACTAATGTCGGCAACACGCCTCGGTATTAACCTCAAGCTCAAACTGAGCTTAGGAACTGCTAGGCCAGCTGAGTGCCTATACCATCACTAGTGTGGTCCCACCGTCACTCAGTACGGTCCCAACGTCACTAGTGTGGCCCAACCGTCATTAGTGCGGTCCCACCGTCACTCAGTATGGTCCCAACGTCACTAGTGTGGCCCCACCGTCATTAGTGCGGTCCCACCGTCACTCAGTATGGTCCCACCGTCACTCAGTATGGTCCCAACGTCACTAGTGTGGCCCCACCGTCATTAGTGCGGTCCCAACGTCACTAGTGTGGTCCCACCGTCACTCAGTACGGTCCCAAAGTCACTAGTGTGGCCCCACCGTCATTAGTGCGGTCCCACCGTCACTCAGTATGGTCCCAACGTCACTAGTGTGGCCCCACCGTCATTAGTGCGGTCCCAACGTCACTAGTGTGGTCCCACCGTCACTCAGTACGGTCCCAAAGTCACTAGTGTGGCCCCACCGTCATTAGTGCGGTCCCAACGTCACTAGTGTGGTCCCACCGTCACTTAGTACGGTCCCAAAGTCACTAGTGTGGCCCCACCGTCATTAGTGTGGTTCCACCGTCACTCAGTATGGTCCCAACGTCACTAGTGTGGCCCCACCGTGACGGTGGGACCGTGAAGGTGTGACCGCACCAGTGACGGTGCGGTCGCACCGTCACTAGTGGGGTCACACCTTCACTAATACGGTCCCACCGTCATTAGTGTGGTCCCACCATCACCAGCGCAGTCCCACTGTCATTATTGCGGTCCCACCGTCACTTAGTACGGTCCCACAGTCACTAGTGTGGTTGGCAAACACCGCTGATTCACCAATACATTGCTCACAGTGACGACCCTGACACACTGACACCACTAAACATATCCTTCTATTCAAGATTGATGGACTGAACACATCGACTCAAGGTTGAGGGACTGATTACCTCATTCTCCTCCTGTTCTTCAAGTTTCTCCTACGTATGGACTGATGAAGCCACTGTGTGGCGAAACGTTTCCTCAATAAAGATACCCAAGAGTTGTTAGGTAAGACACATATGCAACAGTTAGACAACTTTATTCCGATACGTTTCGCCTACACAGTAGGCTTCTTCAGTCGAATACAGAAAATAGGCAGGAACAGTAGAGATGTGAAGACGATGTAATCAGTCCATCACCCTTGTAGTCGTAGAATTTGAGGTTGTCAGTCCCTCGGCCTGGAGAAGTTCAGTTCCATAGTCAGGAACTATCTGAAGATCAAGCGACAGTGTGGAGACTTAAATACTGTATTTAAGTCTCCACACTGTCGCTTGATCTTCAGATAGTTCCTGACTATGGAACTGAACTTCTCCAGGCCGAGGGACTGACAACCTCAAATTCTACGACTACAAGGGTGATGGACTGATTACATCTTCACATCTCTACTGTTCCTGCCTATTTTCTGTATTCGACTGAAGAAGCCTACTGTGTAGGCGAAACGTATCGGAATAAAGTTGTCTAACTGTTGCATATGTCTTACCTAACAACCTGTCGGTATTGTATACCATTTTGATGTACCCAAGAGTTGCACATGTGTCTAATTTATCAACATATCCTTCACTATACCCTTGTTGGGTTCCCTTCTCCCACCAGTGTCCTTGGAACTATACTGCTCACACTACCTCGCCGCACTACACTACTTACAGTACCACCCTCCAACCCTGTATTTCAGTGAATATTATCATACTACTGTCTGGAAATGTTGCAAAACCATGCACTAGGATGCAGGGTTACGAGGAGCGAATGTCTCATGTTATGGCGTGTACGAGTGAAAGGGAATATTTTGAAGAAACAGTGCGCTTTAGAAAGTGATGTGTGATATCGTATTAGAGAAGGATGTGTGATTTCGCATTAAAACATGTGTGATACAGTATTAGAGAAGGATGTGTAATAACACATGAGAAGGATATGCGATATCGCATTAGTGATGTCACCTTACAGAGGAATGTGTTAGGTAGGTAGTTCTGAGAACTGAAGAGCACTCAGACAAGGATCAAGGAGCTCTTCCTGTTATTGCTTTTGGCAATTAAGTAGACTACTATAGTGATTTTCTTTTCCTAAAATGACTGGTGGTTGAACATCAGCTGAGAGCTGCTCACAGCGCATGCTGTCTCAACAATATGCCAAGCCCATGATGATCCTTTTCAAATCACTTGT